TAGTAGTACCACCTATCGACTTTACGTATATTGCAACGTTTACTTTTAATATTGAACTTCAAATATATTTTCAAAGAAAGATTAATATTTCATATGTATTCAAAAGATACTTTTTAGGATTAGGTGCAAAAGAATTGCATAAATATAATTTTCTATGGCATGGTGCGAAAATGGTGGTGTTTGGTTACAGAGCATACTGGTGCACGTCTTGACATAATGCCATGTCGGTTGAAAGACAATGGTAGTTGTATTGACCACCACACGCGTTAAATTATTTAAATAATTCTTAACCAATGAGAGCAATTGTAAAATAATAATTCTAATAAAAATAATTTATACTTTTTCCATGAAAGCAGGGTGAGATAAAAAATAACTGCAACAAAGTCAAACGCCATAATTTTTACATTTTTTTTTCATTTTTCGGAAATAGCATTAAATTTTAGAATAAGTTTAGATTTGTTCGAATTGGTCACCTTGGCACGAATTATGGCCTTCAAACGGCCAATGAAACCGTCACACGGTGCCCGAATGTTGCTCTGCGATATTTTGGTCCATTCCCGGAGATGTGCTTGCTTTAAGTGATCGACACTTTGGTATTTTTTATGGCCAACATTGCTTTCCAAAATACTCCATTACAAAAGTCCAACGGGTTGGTATCCGGAAATTTTTTGTGGCCATTGTGCGCTGGAAATGAAGTCATCACCATGGCCGGAGCTTGAGTTCTGGTGGCCAATCGAATGTGCACATTTTCAACTGACCTCTTTGGCAAGTAAACTCGATCATTTTGTTTGTTTACAAACTGCTGGACAACGAATGTTTTCTCATCGGAGAAACCCAAATTCGGCAGTTTACCACTTTCGGCCAAGCGAGGCAAATCTTTAGCTCTTTTGAGTCTATTGTCTTTCTGTTTCGGCGTAAGTTCTTGTACTTTTTGGAATTTCAATGGCTTTACCCTGATCTCATTTTTCAATATTTGCCGAATGGAATATTGCGATATGTTCAGCTCACTAGCCATTTCTTCTGCCACTGTTTCGGGGTTAGACCAAGTCGCTTCTTTACTTTTCGAGCCATTTCTGCTGATTTTGCTAAGTAAATTTTTGTTGATTGTCAGCAGTTTTAAGAAAAACAACTTTCTTTAAATTTTTAAATAGCTGTGGGAGCTTTTGCATTTTTCATGAATTCACAGTCGTCGACTCCATTTGGAATATTCGTTAATAATCGTTTACTTAATTTCGCATGTAAACGGTGTAGTGCGGTTGTTAGCTCCATACCATGAGCAGCCCATGACGATGACTGCTGACTTTTCCTGTTCTGAGGAAGTGCTGTCAATTATGTGAGTTATGTTTTTTGGACATCTTCACAATCGCATTGATCTTTCACTTATACTTAGCTTCCCCCCTCCCCTCTCTCTCTCTCTCTCCTTGTCTCTCACCGCCTGCGTTTGTGTCAAAGTTATCGATAACAACAACAGCAGCAGTAATTCGTTTAAACAGAGTTAAACCTTAGTTCCGTTTCTGTGGCCTCGGAACTAAAACGAAGAGCTTTTGTTGCAAACCACGTGGCTGGAGTTTGCTTTCGTTTTATGTGTCAATCGTTTCTTATTGCCCCCTCCACCCTGGTCCTATTAAAGTTCTGTTTGATACCGGAAATGTAGCATTTTATTAAAGTTCTCTCCCTGTCTCCCGCTTTCCTTGATTTTGTGATTTTATTTAATTCTGTCTTACGTTTTTATTAAAGAGCTAATAAAAAGATGTTTTATTTGTTTGGGCTCTCCTTTATTTCTGCAGTGCGCAGATATTAAATTACACTCGGCCGTTGTTGATGATCACCATTCTGGGTAACACATGTTTTGTTAAGCGTAGATCTCAAGTACCTTGCATGTAATGTGTATGTGTGAGTGTATGCATGTGACCCAACTAATGTTGGTTGATTGCTTAGTTTGGTACATACCTCCAACCACATAGACACACACACGAACATATCGACAGAAGTTGGTTAAATTATGATTTAGCCATCACCCCTTTTCGGTTTTGTAAGTGAAAAATAAGAAATTGCGTCACATCGCTGAAGAAAAAAAAAACATTTAATTGTGACAAGTCATGAAACTAACTTGGCTTGGGTGACGGAGCTTTTTTTATTATTATCATTGGTATTAGCCAAAGATAGAATAGAAAAAAGTGGCAGCCAGCTAATTCCACGTTAATAGCGACTGGCGACTTGAACGTTTTGTTGGGACTATTTCAGAATCGATTGACAAAACTCGGGGTGAGTTTTTCAATCTTGTGTTTTCAGTGTTTTTTTTTTTCTTCTTTTATCCTCCATACGTGATTAATGATAATCATGTAGTGTTGTTTAATCCATACAAATTATGGGTAATTTTTTTATTATTGTCTGTCTTTAAATATTTTTTGTCGAAGAAACCATCGTCAGTTACTGATTACAGATCGTTTTTCTTTTTTGTTAAACATTCGTATCTAAATGTCAGGATGTGATTCTTTTGCACTACAAAACATTGACAGATGTTGTTATTTCTAAGGGTTGTTACAGTCATATTCATCTAAATTTCCACTTCGTTTGGATGTAAATATTTTTATTACTTATTTTATTTATTTTAATTGCATTGCATTTTTAAATATATAACAACATAAATCAGTAAGAGTTGTTCTCAGGATTGGCTAATTTATACTCTTCATTGCTGTGTAATGTTCAAATCGTTAAAATAACAGAGTGAGATAAAAAACTGCAACAAAGTCAAACGCCAAAATTTTTTAATTTTTCTTAATTTTATTGAATGAAAGCCATAAATGTCGGAAATAGCATCAAATTTTAGAAAATTAGATTTGTTCGAATTGGTCACCTCTGGCACGAATTATGGCCTACAAACGTCAAATGAAACCGTCTCACGCTGCCCGAATGTTGCTCTGCGGTATTTTGGCCCATTCCCGGCGAAGCGCTTGCTTGAGGTGATCGACACTTTGGTATTATTTAGTGCCATCCTTGCTTTCCAAAATACTCCAGATATAATAGTTCAACGGATTGGTATCCGAACCATCGACTGACCATCGGCTGTTAGAGCGCCCCACACCATCACTATGGACGGTGCTTGAGTTCTGGTGCCCAACCGAAGGTGCACATTTTCAGCTGACCTCTTTGGCAAGTAAACACGATCATTTTGTGGGTTTCCATCAAGTCGCGTCTTTACTCGCGTCTCTTTTTAGCATTATCTCTATTCTCAATCATTCCCCCTTTATCATAGGTAAGCAAAATAAAAAAATAAGTTTAAAGAAAACTGGTATTGACATTTTCTTTTGGTTTGGTCTTGAATATTGTCCAAAATAAAAAAAATGATTTAACAAAAATTTGCTGATAGTTGAGAAAACTAAGAGAAATTGACATCAACTTTCAAGTTGGAAAATACTTTGTGTGCTCTATATCATCCTCTCACTATACCGCACCCTCTTTTTATATACCACTCTTTCTCCGTACATCATAGTTGACCAGCAATGTGTTCTAGGCTGCGCTTTATTTCAATCAATGTTTTATTAATTATATTTATTAAGAATTTCTGACAACTTTCGTATCAAATAAATTGTAAAATTTAATGAAATATACAATTTCAGTTTTCTCTAAAACAATCTCTTTTTTTATTGAATTTGGCTGAGCTCTTTTCTCTACCATTAATGCCAAAAACAACACGTAAGAGTTGCTCTCTCCTAAGCTCATTGTTGGAACCTCAGTAAACGGAAAATTACCTGTTGTTTATGTTGTCACATCAATGGGAGTCAATGCTCCATATTAATCATTCTTCCTCTCTATATATCCCTCTTTCTCTATCTGTTTCATATCTTTTCAAGTCAAAGTAAAATACTTGATGGTCAACATTTAAGTTAATGGTTTATGGCCAAAGGGCTAAAGACTTATTGGTGTATAATTTACCAAGTTACCAAATTATCAAGATTTGGATACGTTTAATCTCCTAAAAACATTATGTCGGCAATTCAGAACTCCGGAAACGAAATAGATTTGATTTAGTTTATCTTGGTTCACGGAATTCGGGAACCACCAAAACTCTTTGGAACGTCGATTTATGATATTTATCCATATTTGTTGGCTAATCTTTAATGTTCTTAAAACAATTTGGGGTAGTAGAATATATAAAGAACAAATTGAGTGCGAAAGAAAAAAAAAAACGTCAATTCTGTGCATTAAATTTAAATCCAAATATTTAAAAATATACTCAGAATTGTTATTTTCTTTCGACATTCATTAACAGTCATTTAAAGTTCAAATAGCCATAAATAATAATAGACCCTAAATTATGTGGGCAAAATGATTTTGCACATTTCTTAATTTGTTTAAACTAAACTTCCAGACATATCAAAACACTTGTTCTAATCACACCGTTGCCATAATGAAATTCTTAAATAACTTTCTTTTTCTGCGAACTCTTGTTGCCATGGACTTTACATACCTAAAAAGCCATTGTATTTGTGGCGAAGGGATTTTACTATTTCTTTTTATATATTATTTTTTTGCTTTATTCTAACCAAATAACCATTTGACCACAATGTGAATAGTGTTGGGAATAACGACACTGACACGCACACACACAGAGAGACACAACAAGCTAACTTTTTTTTACCTTTGCGCGAAATCAATTTACAGCGGCTCAATAACTCAATTTCCTGTCTTGACCGCCACTTACGGTAAATTTTCAAATGCTTATTTGTGGTGTTTGCATAATTGAAATAAAGCAAAATTACTTCCGAATTGTGCTGTGGGCCAACCAGTAACAAGGCAAAAATGGCAACAAATAGTGGACAACAATGTCCAGCATAGGTCGTTAAGTTGAACGAGTTCTTTTTTTCAAATGAATTTTCGTTGGTGTTTTTATTTGTCACTCTATTTCCTTATTATTGAAGAAGTATTTGCGTTTTTCTCTCTCGTTCCAATGGTGTTATTAAGCATTGTGTTTTTCTTTCTTTTGTTCAAAATTTCAGGTCTGTGCCGAGGAGAAGTGCCAAGAAGAAGTTGTACTTTTGGCCCTCAACTACATGGATCGCTTCCTGTCCACAAAATCGGTGCGTAAAACCCATTTGCAAATTCTAGCTGCTGCCTGCCTCCTGCTTGCCTCAAAATTACGTGAACCCAGCTGTCGGGCCCTGTCGGCCGAACTGTTGGTGTTCTATACGGACAATAGTATCCACAAAGCCGATTTGATTGTAAGTATTCGAGTATAATTTTTTTTTTCATTTAGAATTAGTTGGAATTCAAGGATAAAATACAGAAATTTAATATTTTCGCCTAACCACCCTAATATCCGTTTATGCACTCTTTGCTCTTGTTATTTATTTTATTTGTACAAATATTGAATTTTTAGCGAACACAAAATGTTTGTATGTACATTTCTTTGCGTCTGCAAAAAAACGAAAACATTCTGACAAGCAAATATCGTTGGTTTGTTGTCGGACGGATAGCTGGAACCGCTTTATACATTGTTGCAGTTTTTTGTTTGCCATGTTTGTTTGAGGTGGCTTAAGTGTTGCAGTTTGCCTTAAAAGCTTCTTCACAGTACCGAAGGCAATGATTATTTTCTGATGTTCGAACTGAATTGTCGGGTATCCTAGTGGAGTATACCAAAATGATCAAAACTAATATAGGATAGTAGATCAAGTGATTTATATTTGGTAATTATATTTGAGAAGTTGACTTCAGATTTCATTAGCTTCCGATCGAACATATAAATAATATTTAACGTCATTACTGTAGAGTGCATTATGGCTGTGAAGGCGGCTTAAATGCGAAATCGGATGAAACATATATGGTAGCTATATCTAAGCAAACATGGCAGACTATTATATTCCGAACTTGATTGCACGATCCGAATAACAAATGGTGAGACGTGAGGTGGAGGAACTATACTTGAAATCGATCTATATTGAATTCGGCTAAATTTGACAGGGGTATTTGTAGGCTGTACAAGACACATATATGGTAGCTAAGCCTACATTAGAAGCAATTTCCACCAAATTTAGCATTCCTATTCTATTAATACAAATCTGTGTGCTAAAACCCACCTTGTTCGATAATGAATTTCACATTTGGTGGAGGATATTATTGATGACCTTTCTTGAATTGATAAGTCCAGAATCCTATGATGGGGTCAATAAAATAGTAAACATTTAGTTGTACTACCCGTTCTTAGGTTTTTAAATAGATGTGTTGAATTTTCAAACCAATGATAGACTAAAGTTCAGTACCAGAAATTGTTCCTTAACTTGTCTTTATGTAGTGAATTTGGATTGTGTGTCCAACCGTAAACATTGTTTACCCATAAGTAATTTCTATGGCTCTTTGACCAGTCGCAGAGCGGCCGTTAATGAAAAAGTCGGAATTCTTGATGTCACACAATTTTATTATTAAGACTTGTTTAGAGCTAGGGTTCGCATTCCCCAGACATCAAAGAAATTATGAAAAAAACGGATTTGAAATGGCGACAGCATCAGTGAGAACAAAAAAGTTTTGAATATTCCTTAAAAGTCCTTGAAATCATAAAATGCGAATTCATTTCAATTTTACTAAAAAAGGGCAACGAAAATGCAGCCAGCTAAATAATAAAGGAATGAAAATAAAAAAACGATGAACAAAACAAAAATAAAATACAAAATGAAACAACAATCGATCGACATCAATGGGAATGGAGGACTACGGACACGGGCACTGCATTGAAGCCAGGCAGCATCAGCTGAAAATGCACGATCAGCAATTTTAAACGATCGCTAGTTTTTGTTTTTGTCCTTCGAGGTCTCCTTCAATTACTGTGCGCTCTCATTGGCAATGTGAATCGCCACCGCGAAATTGAAATTGCTGTTCATTTCAGAGATGAGGTGTTGTTGTGTTCCTTTGTGTGTTCGTTGTTGTTGCTGTTGTGTCATGATCTACAGGAATTTAAAAAGGAGGAGGCATAAGACCTCAATAACCCAAACCTTTTATCGACGACTGCTGCATCATTGTTCCTCCAGTGCATTCATTGGCGAAGAACGATTTCTGGGGCTGTATATTTTGGAATTTTGCCTCAGCAATGACACAATGACAAAGAAAAATACAGCTTTTAAATCAAAATTAAAAGTTTTTCATGTTAAGTCAATACGGACTTAAACCGGCATGAAATGATCTGCAATGATTTCGATGTGAATTGGCTTGGCGATTGCGCTGCGCAATTCAGCCACGAACTGCTGTGGCTCCCACTGCAAACTTCTCACGACGACAGCGATGACCAGAACGACGACAAGTAGCATGCAATGACCTTGTTGGTGGTGGGCAAGATGCCTGTTGGCCGCCTTGTAGAGGGAGCAAGGTGAACGGAAGTTCAGTCTAGGCGTCGATAACATCTACAGTTTCTTGGAAACCGATCCGCCTGTTATTGCTTAAAAAGGGACAGATATTTTTCCAAATCACCTACACGCATGAGCCGGCCAATTGCTGTGCTGGCATAAGTTAAAGGCTAAAATGCATAGCATTGTCACAACTTCAGTTCCGGTCATATCTGTGAGGAGAGTTTAAAATAATAAGGACTGTTGTGAAGAATACTTTCAAATTTAAACCGTAATTTTTAATTAAATAGTCAACGCAAAATTAAGATAGGTAGTGATAGGTAGGAAGTGAAAGTGAAAAATCTAAAGAAAGGCCATCTAAATTAGAAACGTCATTTCACTCATATTACAAACGTATTTGTAAAAAAAAAAAACAAACCACCGAATGGTGGTTGGTTTTGTTTCAGTGTGGTATGACAAAAATAAATATAAGACTACGCTAAGAGCGAACTTTTTTCTTTTTCTGTGTGTCATTACTCTCGAATCAACAAACAACAAATGTCCAATCGACTTTAGTCTTAGAGTAAACTCGTACTCTATTTCGAGCGTTTCGACTCCCTCTCTTATTTTCTAAATAAAAGTGACTCGGGAGCACCCCCGCATAAAATAAAAGAGTTAAGAGTAAGCTTCGTATAAAACTTCCACTCTTTGAGTATTCCCGCTCGTGAATAAGCTTTTTCCCGGGTAAAATAGAGCAGACATGTAGTCTGTAAAAAGGAAAAAATGCCTTTTGGAAATTATTCAGAATGAGACATTTGAAATTTTTTTCAAATATTTTCATTCTCTAATGATGGAGGGTTCAGTATGGCCGAACTAACGCCTTTTGACTTATTATAAAGTTCTAAACGAAATTATTTTTTTACATCGAGCAGCCAAATTCAATTAACAAAAATGTATTCATATTAAGTCATCTTTGTATAATATTACATCCTCATATTTGAGCGATGGCCAGAAACACACATTTGCAGATGATAAATTGTGCCAGCCTTAGTATTAAAAACGCGAACGACAAACATTAGAATAACACTTAAAAATTAACGTTAGATACTTCGTAAACGTTAAGTAGTCGGTCATATGAAAAGCTGAGAGCTAGAAACTCTAGATAAAAAGGAGGATAGCATGGAGAAGCAGAATAGAAAAACAACAATGTGCTTAACACAAAATACAATTTTCGATTAAATAAACTTATTCCCCAGGCGGATCGAATTAAAAAAGAACACGAAAAAATTAATTGATCATTATTGATCGCCTCCTTCCCTACCTGTGTAGTTTCTCAAATTCTATAATTTCCAAAATAGCAACAAAAAAATAATTAATTTAAACTCAATCTCTCGACTACACGAACAGTCCTTATTGCAAATATCGCGAGCAATGGAATGTTGAAATTAAATTAAAAATATCCCATGCCTAATACCATTCCATTCAGCGCTGGCTTACTCGAGTGTGTGTGTGTCGGTGTGTATAGATCTTCATTATCCTCACCACCATCAACCACTAACGATGGCCGATTCAATGATTTTGTCCTACCTACGCCTTCGTCATCTATCGCCGCACATGTAACCGAAGCCCGGCTTACACAACATTGCAATGCATCACAAGCATACAGCCGAGCTGCAATACAAGAGCTGACAGCACACAAATCAAAACTTGGCCTCAGGAATTTACCTCGTCCTGCCGTGGCGGGCCCTCTTCCTCACGCCGCAGCTCGTCGTCTCCTTGCTAATGGACGACAACGGAGGACAAAGAACATCGAACTCGAACTCCAATGAGGAACTCTGAATTCCAAAATTGTTGTTCAAAATGGAATGGAAATGAATGTTGAATGCAGTGCTGCATCATCGCCGTCGTACTACCTCCCGCTGTTGTGCAGTCAGGAGTGTGCCACACACCGGAGTCATTTCGCTTTTGTTTGTCTTCATTCCATTGGACGGCAGACTGTTGTCTGCCAAGTTCCTTTCAGATGAGCCTGGGAAACTAAACAAAACTAAGCGAAGCTTTCGCAGGTATGTCTTATCAGGCTGCCACATTCAGCTGACAATGTTACGTTTCTCGTGTGTGTTTGTTGTTGGTGTTGTTGTTTTCGACATAGTTCTAAAATATTTGCCATCCATGCGGCTGCCGGCTCCTTCGTCAAACCAGCTTGTCTGGGCCTATTTTTAAGATGACTAGTGCAAGCTCCACAGCGACTTCTCAAACAAAAGTGGAAGTGAAAATTTTTCTGTTTTTCATTGTGGCCTTTTCATTGAATGGGCCAGAATGCCGGGCTAGTTTGGCTCAGCCTTTGGCTGTCAATGCCGCAGCTCGAGACAAGCCGGGCTCTGTGAATGCGAAGGCAGAGGTGTTGAGGCGAGTGGTTATTTAGACACGATGCTTGTTTATCCATGGATATCCATACCTAGTGCCACCTTCCTGGCACACACCCATCTTCTTTCCCCCACCGTTGTCGTCGTCCCTTAATAACATCATTATTGCGGTTGCAGCTTTGTATGATTGTTTAAGGTTTTCGTTTTTTTTTTTTTTTCATACCACCAGTCGATGAGTCTTCACATCCTGGCTAAACTATTTGCAACATTTTATACGTAGGTTGGTTGGTCGGTAGATCGATCGTGTGACTGGCAAGCAGGCGATGTTGGTTGCTTGTGGTGATAGTGGTGGTGGTGATGCTCCGCAGCAGGCAGCACTTACAAGAGGCTCCCAGTGGATAAAAGAAGCCGACTGGGTTAGTTTCATTGCCTAGTCATACTTTTTAGAGCCAATGTGAGATAATGTCTGTCTGATCGCCCAAGAATGTGGTTGCGAGCAAAACAAGGGCATCAGCATAGACTATTTTCACATATTCCGAATTTATG